TGAAACTAAGAAAAAAAATTCTGATTGTCCTCGAGGCATAGTTTAATGGTCGAAAAGTTAAGTGTATATGTAATGACCTAACAAATACTTAGGTTTGAATTCTCAATTAGAAAATTCAGACCTTGCGTCACTAAAGCACATCTCACAATTTATCTTTTATCACAATTCAAAAAACAGGGGTGAGGACCATCGTGTTTAGGGTTTATATGTAAACAAAAAAATCTTATTTTTGGAGAAAACTTATCAGACCTTGGCAGCTAGTATGTATATTATATCATTTATATGTGATGAATGTTAGTTAGAGTAGTTAATTAGTTTATCATTGCTCATTCATTGGTAATATAATCGCATATTTGAAGGAATATATGTTGAAGTTTGACTCTTATTTTAGATTCTACTTGCTACAATAAATAACTGATATCTAATTCATCGATCTTAAAATTTTGGTTATGTTTGATAAACCTAGCTGAAAAAGGTAGCTGAAAGTTGAAAAGTAGTTGAAAACTGAAAAGCTATAAATTAGGAGCTGAAAAATAAAGAGTTGTTATGCTTGAAAGTGTTTGGTAAAATTAGCTATTTGATAAGTTGATAAATGTAAAAATACTAAAAAGGACATCTTCATAAAATTTAAATTAATTTGTTTACCTATTAAAATTTAACATTTTGAAATAAAACTATTAGTATAATCACGATACTAATTTAACAATTTAACAATTAGTAAGTCAAACTGTAAAGATCGAGCTTATTTAGGTACTAATTTAAATTTAAATGTAACAATTAGTAATTCTACTTGCTACAATAAGTACTTCAGGTACTAATTTAAATTTTAGCTACTTTAGTTAGTGTTTCAAAATAAACTCTTATTTTAAGCCACGAGCTTATTTGAGAACATTATCAAACAAAGCTTATAATTTATTAGTAGCTTAAAATAAGCTATAAGTTTCTAAATAAGCTTTGTCAAACAGAGCCTTTATATAAGAATAAGAATACATTAACTTATTTTAGCTTATATATCACTAAATTCGTTGGTTTTTTTTTTTTTTTTTTTTTTTTTTTTTTTTTTTTGTAACGATGAAAATTCGCAACCACTATCTGAGGGTTTGGACATGATAAATCATGTCTTGTGATTATTGTTGACAATAAAAATAAACGAGTATATGTTACTTATAGTTGACCGACTCAAACTAAGAAGGCAAAATCATATAGATGCTACGTTCCAAAATTTATATATATATATATATATATATATATATATATATATATATATATATATATATAACACTTCTTGATTAGTTTTGTTTTTGTTTTTGTTTTTTTCAAGTATTTTGATTAATACCTTAATTTCTGTTTAAACTAGTAGCATTCTTATTTTGTATAAGTCTTGATTCTTCTACCTATAACCCAATTATTTAGGGTAGTTAGTAAAGCTTATATGGATTTACATAGTAAGATGAACCCGGTTTGAATATATGTTTATTTTGACTTGAATGAGCTTACCGTACACTAAACTGAATTTCTATTAAAATATAATAAATTTACTAAAAATAATATATATTTTACTAAAAATAAATATGTACGCGGGTTACCCTTGCAAAGTAAAAAACTAATAAGCAAATTATTAATACAATTAGTCAATTACAAACTCAAAAAATATATTACATAAAATGTTATTAAATTATAAGGTAACAGTAGAATTCATTTCTAAGTATGAGTTATACCTACTTTTCGTCCTTAAATTATGGATGTTACACTTTTCGTCCTTCTACTAATACAGAAGAAAACGACAAAGAAAGAGAGAGAGTGAGGGAATGGCGCGCAGATAGTATTGGCCATTTTTATACATGTTTCCCATTCTCCTCTCACCATTCCCATTACACCTATCTCTCTCTCTCTCTCTCTCTCTCTCTCTCTCTCTCTCTGAACTCTACTTAATAATCTGAAGAGAATTGAAAGAGCAGAATCAGTAGTACTGCCATGGATCCATGCCCATTTGTACGTTTGATCATCGAGTCATTATCTCTGAAACTCCCCACCGCCACTAAACCCGCCGGTCCCGGAGTTCACCCTTCCACTACCCCATGCTATGCCAAGTTGAAATTCAGTAGTTTCCCTTCCCAAACTGCCCTTCTTCCTCTCTGCTCCGCCCTTCCCAAGGATGATTCTTCCTCTCCCACGGACTCCTTCGCCTCCGCCGAAGGCTTCCACCTCGATCCCTCCGCCCTCCGCCGCCTCTCCGAAAAGCCTGTCGCTCTCAAACTCTCCGTCTTCGCCGGCCGAATGGGGCAAACCTGCGGGATCACCTCCGGGAAGCTGCTCGGCGTCGTGCAGGTCGCGGTTGATCTCAGTGGGGCTCAATCGAGACCGGTCGTGTTCCAGAGCGGGTGGAAGAAGCTCGGAGGCGGAGGAGCGGATAAACCGATGCTGCATGTGGTGGTCCGGTCCGAACCGGACCCGCGGTTCGTTTTCCAGTTCGGCGGTGAACCGGAGTGCAGCCCGGTGGTTTTCCAGATCCAGGGGAGTATCAGGCAGCCGGTTTTCAGCTGCAAATTCAGCGCCGAGAGGAACAACCGAACTCGGTGAGTTTCACTCACGCTTCCCCCCCTCCGCTCATTTTAGCACCTTTTCTGTTTCTCTAACGTGCGCCGTTAGTTGCTTCAACTTATCATTGTGCTTTGCTGTCGCCCCCCACAACTGATGAACTTGCTTGTCTTTCCCGCCTTATAATTCTTTGCTAATCAATTAGTTGTTTCATTTCTCAAAACCTTAATTAAGGTAAACTTTTTTACTTTAACTAATCATTTGCATATATCTATTTTATAATTCAAAATTTTGAAATATTTAGTGTCATATTTGTTTATAAAATTTATATATTTTATCAATGTACAATATATCAAATTTAAAATTATAAAAAATATATTAATTAAAAAATATAAACAAAAATTGAAGAACTAGTTGACCCATGTAGAGCAAACAGGACACAGAAAATGAGACTAATACTGGTCCTAGAACTTTGTGGTTACTAAGTTAATTGTCTCATAGTCACTCAAAATCTGTGATTATTAAGTTAATTGTCTGGCCAGCCTGAATAATCGGGTTGGTTCAAATAGTGGGGAGAATCTGGTCGTGTGTGAATAAGATGGCGTGAGTCTTAGGTAATGGTTATGATGTTTGTATTAAGCAGATTTTTGCTATTTGATAGTATGTTTTTCTGTCAAGAATGATAGCTAAAGATAAGGTTCTTTACAGTGAAGATTCTATATATCCTGTTCTCTTGCAGTATATGTGTTTAAGATAGTTAATTAATTAATTAATGAGGTAAATTAGTGAAATGAAAACCTTGGATTAAATTATAAAGTTAATGACTTTTTAGCATTTGGTCAAAACAACCGACAGTGTTATGTCCCCCTGCTCAACTGTCATTAGCAACTTCCATTGATTCCCTTCTCCATGTGCAAAGATTTGGTTGAAAGTCTTGAGAAATATTAATAATTTTCTCATTTCAATTCCCTTTAATAATATGTTTCATTACCTGTCTTATTTATCAAATGGTTGATTGGTGTTTTGGTATGTTAAAACCCCAGATCTCTGCCATCAGATTTTAGTTTGAACAGCAGAGGATGGATGAGAACATTTTCTGGGGATAGGGACAGGCCCGGGAAGGAACGAAAAGGGTGGATGATAATAATCTATGATCTCTCGGGCTCTTCTGTAGCAGCTGCATCTATGATCACCCCGTTCGTTCCATCCCCGGGGTCTGATCGCGTTTCCCGATCAAACCCCGGGGCATGGCTCATCCTGCGCCCCAATGGCCCCTCGGTTAGTAGCTGGAAGCCCTGGGGCCGCCTGGAGGCATGGCGGGAGAGAGGCTCAGTTGATGGGCTTGGCTATAAATTCGAGCTTGTTACTGATGCTGGGTTCACGAGTGGGATCCCCATTGCAGAAGGCGCCATGAATGTGAAGAAAGGGGGGCGGTTTTGCATAGATAATGCAAGAAAACACTCTGCTTCTTCGTTATCCCCAGTTCGGGGGTTTGTGATGTGCTCCAGTGTTGAAGGGAAAAACGGGTTCCTTTCGGTTCAGGTTGCAGTGAACCATGTTAATTGCATGGCTGATGCTGCTTTGTTCGTCGCCCTTTCTGCCGCCATTGATCTGAGCATGGATGCTTGCCAGCTTTTTTCGACGAAACTCAGGAAAGAATTCTGCCATGATGAACACGACTCCTACTTCTAAGATCAATCTCTTCTTGTGCAGTGATTACCACATTCAGGTTTGAGCAAGGAAGATAACTATTTTTACAATTTTCTCAAACAGATTTTGACATTATATCACAAACCATTACATTAAAGAGGCAAGTAAGAGTGACAAAATTGAGGATTTTTTTTTTTTAAATGTCTATTTATTTATTTATTTATTGCTGTTTTTCTCCTTTAATTTTATCCTCACCACATATATAGAACTCCTGTATTACAGATGGACAGTGTTACTGTACAGACAGGACGAGTGATTTGTTTGTTAAAATTTATTTATTTATTCTTTTTATTATTGTGCTGAGATTTCATTTTCACGTTGGCATTCATTTTTATTCCCAACAAATTAAACCAAACAGGATTAAAGGAGTGGCTCACCTATCCAATCCGAATATCGTACTGCTGCTACAGAAATATAATGTTATAATTGTATCTAGCTTATAATAGACTAAAATCTAATCCCGATTTCTAATAAAATTCAAATTCTATACTGACTCTTGAAATAAGACTTTAAAGTGATTGATTAAAGTGGGATAAAGTTACTAATCTCGATATCTAATGAAATTTAAATCCTATACTGAAAGTTGAAATAAGATTTTAAAGTGATTAAACAAACTGATTGAGGTAGTTACACGGGGTAACTATCATTGTTTTAATAATTGAATTCCCATTTATAAATACAATGCCAATCTTTGATTCTCTCCACAAGCAAATTACTATATATTGCACCAACTCTGTTTTCACTTTAATGGCATTCATGCAATGTTTTGCTATCTGCCTCGTTCTCATCTCCGGCGCCACCGCCGCCCGCCGGAATCCGACCATCAAGCTCCCGTCCGCCCTAGACGGCGAAAACCTGTTATGTGAGAGCTGGAAACAGGCGGTGGAGACCAACAACGCCGGCCCTTGGGGCCTGCCCCTTCCGCCCTGCTTCGGCTTCGCAATGTCCTATATGACCGGCCTCCGCTACCTCGCCGACAGCATCACCGTCACCAACTACGCCCTGGAGTTCGCCAAGTCGGTGAATGTCACCGGCAAGGACGCCTGGGTTTTCGACGTCGACGACACTTTGCTTTCTCATGTTCCCCACTTCTTTTCACCTAATCATCAGTGAGTATATATTACACTAATCCAAAGACAATAATACTTTTTTTTTGCACTATATGAATGTGTTGTTTGAATGCAGAGAATCAAGGAAATTGCAGGAGAGAGTGAAATCTGAAGGGTGGGAAGAAGATTCATTGTTGGGTGGTGATGAGGTTGAGTTGCCGGCGTTACCGGCAAGTTTGGAGTTGTACCGGAATATTCAGAAGCTAGGGTTCAAGATTTTCTTGCTAACCGGACGGAAACAGTCTCAGTTGAATCAAACCGTCAGAAATCTTTTGGAAGTTGGATATATCAACTGGGACAGACTTATCTTAAGGTATTACACTATTTTATGATGATTTTTAATCACGAGAAAAATCCGCAATCACAACTGAGTATGTATGTTGGGTTAACTTATCTTCTGATCTTAATTGGTAAAAGATCATAATGAAACAAATCAATATAAATTATCTATAGCAAATCAGTTCAAATCTAAAAGATCAATTGATCGTTTTCAGTTAGAGTCAAATATAAAATTTTGTGATTACAAATTTAACAGTCTAATCAACTTAACTGGCAATTAAAATAGGGATACATGTGATTACCATAAGACAGCATTGTTGTACAAGTCAGAGAGGAGGATGGAGTTGGTGGAAGAAGGTTACACACTTCATGGGAACTGTGGTGATCAGTGGTCTGATTTGCTTGGATATGCCATGGCCGTTCGATCCTTCAAACTCCCAAATTTGATGTACTATATCAAGTGATTCTATTCCTTTTGTTAATGTTGATTTTTACAGGAATAAACTGTCATTGTATTTCAATTCCATCTCCCAAGCCTGCATTATAAAAGGCCATTGGCTTACCCAACAAAATTTATAAGAAATGAAATTTAAATTTTATAGAAAAGAATAAGTGCAAATTTTATATTCTTGTCACTTAGCTTCTACAATCAATCCAGTTGAGCTGTTCATGAGGGTGTAAAATTTATATTCTTCTCTCAAAATGTTGAATCCCCGACCCTAAGGGCCAAATTATAAGAATGGTTGGTGAAAAAGAAACAATTGAGAATATTCATTTCATTGTTTAATTTGTTCAAGAATAGTCAATATCATAGGTATAGTGTATTTGAAGGGGGAAAATGTTTTTTTTTTTTTTTTTTTTTTTTTGGTTTTAAATTTCTTCTATGAATTGCATTGTTATAATACATTCTTCCTCTGAATTATCCATTTATCAACATTATTTTGTTAAGGGAAAATGGCCAATAAGCCTTCAAATTTTACCTAAAAGTGCAATTAAACTCTCCAACATTAAAAAAGTTCAATTAAATACTCAAACTTGTTAAAATAGATCAAATAAACCATCTTTACCGGTAACCAATAGGTTACTGGTTATTCAACAGCCCATAAAGCTCAGTTTAGCCGGAAAACCCACCCCCAATCATTCTTCTCCATTGCTGGTCGTTCTTCTCCAGTGAACTGTTACAGTCTATTCGTCGTCTGTTTGGAGGATAAGACGAACAGGAACTCCCGAACAGCCTGTTCGTCTTCTCCAATCGAGCAAACTCAAGGTCCCATCATTAGCAAGTGAAGACTCAAACTGTTCAATCAAAGCTTTCATGGCAGGGGGCAGTCCACAGAAATCGTTGGTCTCATATTCTGATAGATAAGAAAGGCTTAGTGGTTGAGTTTGATTGCAAACCAGTGACGACAAATAACAAAGTAAAAGCAATGAATTACCTTGTTCACCAGTACGTAGTCTTTTAGACGAACAAACTGTTCGTCTTGTCTTCTCCAGATAGTTGAAGTTTTCCGGCCGCCGGAATATTGGACGGAAAATTGATGACTGGTTGTTTCAGGTGAATAATAGGTCATTTGCGTTTTTTTTTTTGAAGGTCAATCTTGCGATTGTATTAATGAATTAAAGTCGAAATAGCGTCAGGTGGGATAGCATCCCAGTACATAGCTTGATCCTGAGTAAATGCTAACGTAGCTAAAGTATGCGCATGTAAATTAACCTGCCTAGAAATATAATCCAAAGTAATACGATTAAACAACGACATAAATGTCCTGCACTGGTCAACTGTGACCCCAACGTACGAATGGGTCGGCGTATGATGGTGCCTGAGCATCGCTGCCAATTCCATGCAATCCGTGAGTAAACTTACTGATGTGGTGTCCCGTTCAAGTAGCCAGGACAAAGCCTCCTTGTATGCCTGAGCCTCCGCCATAAGTGGTGAAAAACAAATTGGTAACTTGCCATTCCTTGCTGCCACAAACGAGCCATCTGGCGCTATAATTACCATGCCGTAAGTAGCCTCGCCCGTGTTGTGCCGAAAACCCGCGTCCACATAACATCGTAGACCACCCCCTCTTAGGCCATTCACATGGTCCGCCACCGGTGCCGGGTTGGTTCGGCCAACATGAGCAGTGCCGTACGCCTGCAGTGCTACGGTGGCTGCTCTGACCAACTGGGTAGGCCGCATCATTGATCCCTTCCAGACAGCTGAATTTCGGGTTCTCCAAATATAATATAATATTGCTACCATTAACCGGATCTGCTCCTCCGTTAGGACTGCCATAACCCCTTTTAGCCATGTTGTAAACGAGTCTGCAACAATATTAATAATAGGCAATTGTGTTATATTCCAAACAAGTCTAGAATATTCACAGAGCACTAAAGCATGCAACACATCTTCATGATCTAAACCACACATAGAGCAAGTTGGGTCCACCTCCACCCTTTTAAATATCAAGTTTAGGGTTGTTGGCAAAATATCACATATGGCTCTCCACAAAAAAGTTTTCCATTTCGGGGGGACTTTTATTTTCCACATTGCGATCCACTTATCAAAATTCGCTGGATTATTCTCAAAGGTCATTTGCGTTTAAATGTATCAAAATGACAAGTTTGAGTATTTAATTGAGCTTTTTAATGTTTGAGGGCTTAATTGCATTTTTTGATAAAGTTTGAGGGCTTATTTGACTATTTTCTCTTTTCTTAATTATTTACAAGATAAAATTTCACTTTTCGTCTCCAAACTACTACACATAAATCACATTTTGTCATTGACTATTAAAATTTTTTAAGAGGAAATTTCAATTTTGGTCCTATGACTATATGGGTCTTGTTAATTTTAATTTCCGACTTTCAAAAGTTCAATTTAGTACCTTGACTATGCAATTTTTATTAATTTTGGTCACTCCGGTCAAATTGCCGGCCAAATTTTGCCGAAAAAACATAATTAACCAATTAATGTTTAATCTGAGGGACAAATTCATCTTTTTACTACCTTTCCCCTCCACTCCTTCCCTTCCTCACAAACCACCAGCCAAATCCATTATTTCCGGCGATGATGGTTAGGCCATGGATCGGAAAAGGCAACAGCTTCTTGTGTTTCAGTCTAAATCTGGCAGGTATTCAGCTTTACTTTTCGGTATTCCCTCCCATTCTTAAAGCTTGCTTAAACCTCCCGCTCTCCTTCACACATGGACATGCTGCCTCCATCCACGCATCTATGCTCAAGCATGGTTTCGCAGCAGCATTCACTTTTGTCTTGTTGGGTTTCAATCCAATGTCTCCACCTTGGTGCTTGTGGTTCAGACTTGTAGAAACCTTGCAACTTTTTTTAATGGACAGAAGATTCATGGTTACGTAATTCGCAGTGGGTTTTCAGCTGTACACTCTATCCAGAACTCACTACTGAATTTGTATACAGAATTTGGAATGGAACTTGCACGGGAGCTGTTTGATGAAATGTGTGACAGAGATGTAATTTCTTGTGGAAACACAAGAAGTATAATTCTCATCAGAGTGCCTTAGCCGATCCATGGCCTAAATCGCCGAAAATAATGGATTTGGCTGGTGGTTTGTGAGGGAGGGGAGGAGTGTGGGAGAAAGCTAATAAAAAGACAAATTTGCCCTTCATATCAAACATTAATTAGTTAATTATGTTTTTCCGGCAAAAGTTGGTCGGCAATTTGGTCGGAGTGACCAAAATTGATAAAAATTGCATATTTAAGGTACTAAATTGACACTTTTAAAAGTCAAGGACTGAAATTAACAAGACCCATATAGTCATAGGACCAAAATTGAAATTTCCTCAATTTTTTAATTAAGTGCATAACTATGTAGTTTGTATCACATTTGAGCTTGCCCTCCAATTTTTTGACCAACTACTGCCAAAAATTCTCCTTAGAAGGAGTGTTGCATTTGCTTTTTCCAGAAGGAGTAATACATTTACTTCTTCCACAAGGAGCACTTCCACTCTTCCAGTAATAGTTCTCATAAATACTTGTTCCATTTGTTAATCCTCATTTTCCTTTCCCCTTCACTGAACCTATTAGGTAGGTCATATATATCTACAATGTGTTTTATCCGATCTACTCAGGCTCGACGTCCGAACTATTTAGGTCGGCTACTAAGTTAGGGATAAGAACCCTGGTAATATTTTTCTAAACAATATTCATCTTTGATTTACGAGAAAATACAGAATTACTATTTAGATATGTGCTCTGTTAAAATCTCACATTATAACCTTAGAATGGTAAAAAATCATAATGAAATAACTTAGCTTAAGCTACTTATAACTAATAACTTAAACTAACAAAATTAATAGACAATTACCATGAAATTTAAACTTAGAGTCTTCTTACTATTAAGCCAATTGTTTAACTAAGTTGGCTAGGTTGCCTTCCGTTGATCTTAACTCGTGAATCCCGGCTCTGATTGTGATGTTGCAACATTCCACACTATTATTACAAATTTCAAGTTAAACAAAGCAGCTAGGAGTGGCTCACCTATTCAATCTTGGATCAAACTTAATCCCAATCGCAAGAAACTCAAAAAAAAAAAAAAAATAAAACAAAACAAAAAAAAAAAAACAAAAAAAAACAAAAAACAAACAAAAAACAAAAACAAAAAACAAAACAAAAAACAAAAAAACAAAAACAAAAAAATAACAAAAAACAAAGTGTATGTTGATTTTTCGATTTTTCCCTTAGCTTGTTTGATACTCGGTAAATGTTTTTCTTTAAGGAAAAAATTTGTGTAAGACCATCTTATGTGAGATGGGTCGGGTAAATATGAAAATATAATACTAATTAAGAATAAAATGCTTATTACTTTATATATATATATATATATATATATATATATATATATATATATATATATATACTCCCCCATCTAACTTTGTTTGTCTAGTTCGGTTTATGAGCTTGACAGAAGTTATTTTAAATTTAATTTTTTATAATATTAAGTTTAGTATTAATATATAAAATTTATATATTTAGAAACTACATTAAAAAGTACTATTAAAGTATTAAATATTTAAAAATAATTAAAATTACTAAAGAAAATAAGTAATGGAGAAAAAATTAGTTTGATCAATAAATATTAAACAAGACAGGCAAAATGGGTCATAGGGAGTAAAGTTTAAAAAAAAATATATATATAATATTTTTACATTTTGATTTAAAAGTATAACATTTTTTCCTAAGAGTAATATAGTTTTCCTTATAAGTAACAAACACTTGCCAACATTACTTATTAGAGTATATTTTTTCTTATAAGTAACGAACACTTACCAATTAAAGTTAATAACTAATATTACCAAACACTTTCTTACAAATAGCTAATATTATTAACTGGTTGAAACAACTAACACAATTAACTAATAGCTAACTATTAACCTAATCCACTAACCGTTAATCACTAATTGCCAAACAATGCCTTTATGAAATTGCAATGGTTGTTACATGAATAAACCAATCATTATTGGTTTGCTAAAAAAACACCAATCATTATTCCGTGGACGGTGGATCATAGTCTACACAACTGTGTGGAATATACTATCAAATAATGTATATTCAGTATATAAATAATGTA